AGAGGGGCTTTGTGTTAGTTGCCACTACTGAATAAAGAAGCTTCTCTAATGAGGGCTGAGAGAGATGGTAATCTGTGCGTGTAATAAGTCGTTAGGAGTCAGCTTAATATGGTCTCCTGTTTCTATTGCTGTGAAAAAACACCACAACCAAAGGCAGGTTGGAGGGGAGAGGATTTATTTTACCTCACAGGTCACAATCTACCAGGGGAAGTCAAGGCAGGAACTCAAAACAGAAAGCTAGAGGCAGAAACTGCAGCAGTGACCGTGGAAGAGTGTCGCTCACTGGCTTGCTGCTAGGCCTGATCAGCTTGCTTTCTTATGCACCCAGGGCTGCCAGTCCAGGAGTGGTGCAGCCCTTCACCATCAGTCATTAATCAAGAAAACGCACCACAGGGTTGCCTACAGGCCGGTCTGTTGGGGGCACTTTCTCAATTGATGCTTCCTCTTCTCAGAGACTCTAACTTGTGTCAAGTGACAAAAAAAAAAAAAAAAAAAAAAAAAAAAAAAAAAAAAAAAAAAAAAAATTAGCCATGAATTAATTGTGAAAATACCTGTATTGCCCAAAATGGTCTACAGATTCTATGCAATTCCTATCAAAATTCAGATGACATTTTCCATAGACTTAGAAAAAAAAATCCCAAACAAAAAGGCTTTGAAAGCTAACACAATCCTTAATAGAAAAAAACAATACTAGTGGTATCAAAATACATGATCATAAATTATATTACATAGCTATAGCAATAAAACAGCACAGCACCAGCATAAAAACGGAGGTGTAGACCAATGGAATAGAACATACGATCTGTATATAAATCCATATAGTTTCAGCCACTTAACTGAGAAAAAAATGATTTATTTTGTTTTGCCTTCACGTATGTATGTGCACCATGTACATGCCTGGTATCCATGTAGGTCACAGGGAGGTGACCAGGTCCCCTGGATCTGGAGTGAGTGGTTGTGAGTCATGTAATGTGGGTGTTGGGAATAGAACCTTGGTCCTCTGCAAGAGCAATAAGTAGTTTTAACTATTTATGAGTCCTCTCTCCATTTCCCTAATGTATTTTTTTTTTAACAAAACTTTAAAAATGTACATTAGAGGAAAATGGCCTCTTTACCGAATGCTTCTTGGAACAAATAATAAAGAAAATGTGACATTTATATCACACATGGAGTGGTGATTATGAAAATATCTCTTACATTTGAATAGAAATGGTCCCCATGTGCTTGAGTACTTGACCCAAAGGGAGTGGGCACTCTTAGGAGGTGTGGCCTTGTTGGAAGAGGTGTACCATGGTGGAGGCAGGCTTTGAAGTCTCTCACATGCTCCAGCTAGGCCTAGTGTGGCAGACTCCTTCTGCCTGTGGATCAAGATGCAGAACTCCCAGCTCCTTCTCCAGCACTGTGTCTGCCTGCACAATGCCGTGACAATAATAGACTAAACCTCTTAAACTGTAAGCCAGTTCCAATTGCATGTTTTCCTTTATAAGAGTTGCTGTGGTCATTGTGTCTCTTCACAGTAAGACACCCTAATTAAGACAAGAAACTGGAACTAGTAAGACACCCTAATTAAGACAAGAAACTGGAACTTTTGCTGGACTACTGTCAGCAAATACACCTTGAGGTCACTACAGACTTGATATCCTACTCAGCCTCTCTGTGTGTGTGTATGTGTGTGTGTGTGTGTGTGTGTGTGTGTGTGTGTGTGTGTGTGGTTTCTGACCTGCCTTTAAGAAAGCAATGTTCCAACCTTACTTGCCTTGGCTTTCCCATGTAACAACTTTTACAACCTAAGCCAATGCATAACTGTAATCTTAAAATACTCTTCTATTCCATTCTCGGAAGTCTGGGATGAGGCTGTCAGCTTCTGGATGAAGAACAGAGCTACCCTGATATCTGAGGCTCCAGTTCTCTCATGAACAGCTAGAGCCCTTATGGGTGAGGCTTCCAGCCTTACCAGGGTGAAGGAAGTGGGTTTTCCTCCTGGGTGTTACAATTAACTCTTTTAAATGAGATTGCCAGTATCAGAGGCCATGGAAATTCCAGAGTTCCAAAAGCCTGTGACAATACAAAAATGTTACAGCTCCTTGGTTAAGCTGCTGTGCTAAGCATGGCAGAGGATGCCGCAGGACACCAGAAACTAGCCAGAAGGCAGGTTGGATGAAACCCAAGGCTGGGAGCTGAATCCAGGCTCAGCAGGTGTTCTTGGCAGCAGTCAACAGCTAGTGGCAGAAGGGCAGCAAACCCCAGAAGTTCAGTGCCCCCAGAATAAATGATCAATCTCTGGTGGCTGTGGCAGAAAGCTGATGGTGCCATGAAGCACCTTTATTTCATGTGAAATCAAGGATTTATAAACCTTGGGCAGTGGAAGAGGTTATGACTTCAACCTCAACAACAGAGCTCCACACATTCCCTTGATCCAGAGAGCTATGCGTGCGTTGTCATAATGATTTGCTGAAAACAGCAAATAGATTGAAAACAACGCTTTAAAACAAATCACCATAAATGCTGGAGACAGCATGTGGATAGATATTGCTTGATAGCATCTGTTTGTTAGATGTGTCAGTTGACTCAATTGGAGTCAATGACTTAATCCCTTGTAAAACTTTGTTAAACATTTCTATAAAGGACCCTTTTCCTTATGTGATGTTTTCTGTGCTGTTCAATAAAAGGGAAAGAAGACACAGTGAATAGACAAGAGACCATTTAAGCAAGCACAGTTGCAGATCCATATAACAAATAGACAAAAAACGATGGAAAACACAGGTCCAGAAAAATAGAATTAAAATTTGGGCTCTCCTCCTCTCTGGAAATTCTCCACTCCACTCCCAGCAGCACTGACAAAGCACCCACTGACCTGAACCCACCTTCCTTCCAGCTGGGCCTGTCCCTCACCAGACCTGCCTCCTAGCCCACTGGGCCAAGCCTCACCAGGCCCGTGATTCAGCTGCATGGGCTTTTATCTGCACCCGTCATTAATACAGTGGCTTTACTGACGACGGGCTATAACACTTCCGTTTTGTCTGATCCTTGCAATTTCATTTTAAAAGAGCTAATTGTAACAGCTGGTGGAAAACTCGCTTCCACCTCTTCCAGTGAGACTGGAAGCCTTGACTAGTACATGGGCCTTGCCCTAAAGCACTCTAGCCATTCCTGAGAGAAACAGAACCTGGAGCCCCTCTATTCTGCATCCAGAAGCTCTCCCAGACTACCACCGGATGAAGAATGGCACCCCAGCATCTGGATCCTGGAGTCTTCACTGGTAAAAGTCAAATGACTGGGATTTTGTGTTTTCAGTAACAATACACTTTGTACAAAAATTGACTAAAATCGATCAAAGACCTTAATACAAAAACTGAAATTTCATATAAAACAGGGAATATTCAAGATATTTGAACTTTCTGAACAGAACATTAATAGCATAGGAACTAGCCCCAAGTATCACCTGGCAGGACTACATTGTATTAAAGTTTCTTCAGAGCAAAGGAAGTCAACAGAGCACAGAAACAGCCCATACATGGTAATGTATTATAAACGTAACTCTTACATTGTAAGAAATTGAAACTTTTTCTGAACAGCACAGCTAGAGTTACTAAAACAACTAAAGGTCACTTAAGACTGCTATTCTAGTGTGTATTCAGCTTGTGTTGGTTTGAATAGGTTTGGCCCCTATAGACTCAAGTCTTTGAATGCTTGGCCATTGGGAGTGACACTATTAGGAAGAATGACCTTGTTTGAGGCAGTGAGTCACCATGAAGGCTCTGCCCATTGTGGAAACGGAGCCTATTCCCGGTTGCCTGCAGAAAACAGTCTCCTGCTGTCTGCTCATTATGATATAGAACTCTGAGAATTCTTGGCTCCTCCAGCACCAGGTCTGCCTGCATGCTGTCACACTTCCCACCATGATGACAATGGACCTCTGAAACTGTTAAGCCAGCCCCAAGAGTTGCCTTGGTCTTCGCGTCTCTGAGACAAGCTTGTTTCCTTAACTTGCCTTTAAGAGTACAATGTAACTTTGGGACTGGCTGTGAAGTCCTTCTTGGTGGCCTAGCAGGACTGCTCCTCCCTTGGGGGTTGGGGAGGTCAAAGAGACTGCCATTGAGTTCCTGTCAGAAATAGTCCCTGTTCCCGTTACTATGGGAAACCAATTGGTTACTGAGTTACCACGGGCTACATTGGAGCAGAGGTTCTAGGTTATATCCATACATGGTCCTTGGTGGAGTGTCAGTCTCAGAAAAGACCCCTGTGCCCAGATATATTTGGTCCTTGTGGAGCTCCTATCCTTTCCACGTCTTAACAGGGTCAGATGAAAGGGGAGGAGGTCCTCCCGAAGCAGTGGACTTGGAAAGGGGCAAGGAAGAGATGAAGGAGGGAGGGTGGGATTGGGAGGGAATGAGGGAGCGGGATATAGCTGGGATACAAAGTTTAAAAAAAAAAAAAGAGTGCAATGTAACAACCAACCTTACTTGTCTTGGGTAGACTTTTACAACCTAAAATAATACATAGTTGTAATCTTAAATTATGTAGCTTCTATGCCTTTGACCCAAGAGTAATCCATGTGTTTGCGTGTGTTATAATTTGAAGACATAAAATTAGAGGTTGCAAGTAATCTTGTATCATGTTGAACACAACGTACAGATATTGCTTGATAAACAATGATGTTCATAGTTTATCTGGGTCAGTTGGAGTCAGTGACATAATCCTTTGGACAAGTGTGTTAAAGATTTCTGTAAAGTATTCCTCATTCCACTCCCCATGTGCTTCCTTCTGTGCTGTTTAATAAATGCTGAACAAAGCCCTTTGTTAGGGACATACGGACATATCCAATAGCCTCATATATAGACACAGATTCACAAGGGAGCTTTCGGGTAGGCACAGACTCATAAAACAAAGAGAATAAGAGAGAGGGAATGTGAAACAGATAATTCAAATCTGGGCATGTTCTTGGTTAAATGACACCAATGGGAAGTGCTCTGATTTCTTTCCTCAATGAGACACATAGCTGGTGAGTCAGAGTTTATTATTAATCTTTTCAAACTGACCATACCCACACAATGGTACAAAGTCTTCATGGGCTGTATTTTAGACCAGGGGCTAATACCCAGAATTGGCAAAATATTGCAGAAATTAAATGCAAAAGAAAGAAAACTCTGAACAAATGGTCTAATGAATTGAGTAGACAGCTTAAAAATATAAATGGCCAATAACTATTTAATAGTGTTCAATATCCTTTAGCCATCAGGGAAATGCAAATTAAAACTCCTTTGATATGCTACTTCACCCAAGGCAAAATAGTTATCCTGAAGAAAACTGACAAATTTTAGAGATTTGATGAAAGAACTGCCCTTATTTTATGCTGCTTTGTGTACAAATTAATATAGCCATTATAGAAATCACTTTGGAGGTTTCTCAAAACATGAAAAAATAGAACTACCATATAGCCCAGCTACTCTACTCCTGGATGTATACCCAGAGAAATCCTTACCCTATCACAAAGATATTTGTATTCTTATGTTCACTATTGCTTTAGTAATACAGAAAAAAAAAAAAAAAAAAAAAGAACCATCCAGTTTTCCACCAACAAATAACTGGATAATGAAAATCTGGTAAATAAGATAGAATTTTGTTTAGCTCTAAAGGAAAAAAAATGAAGTAACAAATTTCCACAAATGGATGTCTTAAACTGCATATCAATATCAATAACATATCAATAATATCAATCTCACAAAGAAAAAAACTGGTTTCCCCAATATATTTACCCTAGTTTATACTGTATCTATGTAAGCACATGTCAAGTGTTGCTATAGAACAGCGCGCAGAGAAGAGCACAAGAGACTAATATCAGGTGGTGAGAAGGGCCAGAATACATGAATGAGAGAGGGCATAAACTGTTCTTCTAGATCTGTTACGGACTCTGTGTGCGTAACGGATATATGTATTTAAAAAATAATGAAATCCAAAGTTAAGCTCCATGACTTCAGAAGACTTGAGTCTGGGCAAGTACTTGTTTGAGTGACTGTGTTAATCTGGGTGCACTTTTTTTTTTTTAACCTTTCTTTATATATTTTTTTTAATTTTATTTTTTATTTTATGTGAATTGGTGGTTTGTCTGCATGGATGTCTGTGTGAAGGTGTCAGATCTTAGCATTACAGACAGTAGTGAGCTGTCACGTGAGTACTAAGACTTGAACCCAGGTCCTCTGGAAGAGAAGTCGTTGCTCTTAAACACTGAGTCATCTTTCCAGCACCTAGATGCCTGGTTTTTTACTTCTAAAATTATTTAGAAACAAATGATTTTTATTTTTAAAACTTCCAGGCTTTTTTTTTTTTTTTTTTGAGAGAGAGAGATAGAAAACATGAAGTTGTATAGGTAAGGAGGGACTATTTCAGAGGTACTGGGAAGGAAAAAGAATATGAAAGAAAAGAACAAAAATTTTCTAAGTAATTTTTTAAAATTGAAAAATGAAACATGGCAAATGGAACAGTAACTTCCTAAAATTACTTGGTGTAAGAATGACAAGTTATTTCATTCCTCTTCAGCAATACAGAATTAAAACCTACTATCTGTATCCTTGAGTAAAGAGAATACCTTAATACATATTTGTATTTGACAGAATAATATGTCATTCAATATATAACAATGACAATACATTAAGAAACACTCACCTAAATTTCATAATATGTATTTCAAAATCTAACATATGGTCTCTGGAAAAAATAACTCTCTAGAACCAGCTTTGTTCTGTTGATCATTTGAGATCTGTGCTTCATTCAGTTTTGAAAAGTGAGGCTATACAGTAAATTCGGTTTCATAAAATATTGATATCTGCAAGATTCTGATATCCTTGATAGTTCTTTCCATTATATCAAATAACAATGCCCTGTAAATTATAAGAATCATTCAAGTTTTTGTGACATTACATATATTCATTGGATGTGTCTCTTATAATAATTTCCTTATATTTAGTAAGATCTGAGTATGCACAAAGGCTTGGTTATGTTTTTTATTTACATGTCTTGTAGTGTAAATACTTTTATTTTCCAAGGTATAAATATTAGACTAAATTCCACCAAAGACATTACATGTATGAAGTTACTACCTAATATGACTTCATTGAAAGCTAAGGAAGATCAAGCTTCAGTTAGAGGTCATATGCCATTATTCACATTTGCAAGGCTTCTCACCAATAAAAAAATCTCTGACACGTAATTTAATTTGTAGGGTTTCTCTTAAGTGTAGAGGAATTTTAATTCAGAACATGGCTGCTCTGGCAAGAGATCACATTCAAAGACCTTCTAGGTCTGTGTGATGGGCCTGGAATACAAACATGCCTTTAATCCCAGGAAACAGAGGCAAGCAGATCTCTGAGTTCAAGGCCACCCTGGTTTAGAGCAAGCATGAGGTACAGAAAAGCTTAGGTCCAGGAGTGGTCCAGGTTCTTTAATCCCAAACAATGAAGTTAGTTTGTGGAAGGAAGCACTCATGTTTGAAAATGATGTTTAATTGAGTGGTAGAGAAAGTGACAAATCAGAGAATATTTGACAGAATAGGACACACCTAATTCTCAGAAGAACAGACAGGAAAGGGAAGCTATTTAAGGGGCAATGCATAGAGAAACAGGAGGCAGTTTTTACTGGAGACAAGATTCAGATAAACAACACAGGTGAAGAAGGAATGAGCCAGAGAATGAGAAGGAGCCAGAAGATTAGAAAAGATTGTTGGAATTAGTTTGAGGCCACGCAGAGCAATTCAGGGGCCAAGAAAAAAAAAAACAGATTGAATAAGTCAGCTAGAAAAGGAGTTTGAGCCAGAAGAGCTGAGTTGAACCTGCCAGCCCAGAGCTCAGTAAGAACAAGAAAGGGTAAGCTTATTCAGCAGTAAGTCTCAAGAGGCTGAAAACATTCTAGGCCTAGGTTACATTGTACAGAGGCTAGAAGCTTCCAGGACTAGGCCTAGGTTAGAAGACAGAGGCAGTGAGCCTCTCAGACAACAACTGAAACAGGTGAATAAAAGTTCCTTTTACACTTATGTATAAAATTTTGAAATTGTAGAAGTGTAAAACTACACTTAAACTGCTTAAACACTTCTACAAAGTGTTTAACATTTATAGGGTTTCTCTACAGTATGTGTGGATTCTTGGGTATTGAGAAAAGGCTCTATAATTATTAAAGGCTTTGCCCGAATCTTCATATTTGTAGAGTTTTACTCTAGTATGAATTCTTTGGTGTTGTTTAAGATTTGAAGAACAGTTAAAGCCCTGGCCACAATTTTCACATTTGTAGGGTTTCTCTCCAGTATGAATTCTTTGGTGTTGACTAAGAGCTGAACAATTACTAAATGCTTTGCCACATTTTCCACACTTGTAGGGTTTCTCTCCAGTATGAATTCTTTGATGTTGAATGAGGGCTGAAAAATTATTAAAGGCTTTGCCACAGTCTTCACATCTGTAGGGTTTCTCTCCAGTATGAATTCTCTGATGATAATTAAGATGTGAAGAAGAATTAAAGGCCTTGCCACATTCTTTGCATTTGTAGGGTTTTTCTCCAGTGTGAATTCTTTGGTGATGAGTAAGGCTTGAACTATTATTAAAGGCTTTCCCACATTCTTTGCACTTGTAGGGTTTTTCTCCAGTGTGAATTCTTTGGTGTTGAATTAGGGCTGAACAATTACTAAAAGCTTTGTCACAGTCTTTACATGTATAGGGTTTTTCTCCAGTGTGAATTCTCTGATGTCGAGTAAGATAAGACACCATGGTAAAGGCTTTACCACATTCTCCACATTTGTAGGGTTTATCTCCAGTATGAAGTATTTGATGATAATTAAGGTATGAAGAACAGTTAAAGGCCTTGCCACATTCTTTGCATTTGTAAAGTTTTTCACCCCTATGAATTCTCTGATGCCTATACAGGTGTGAAGAACAATTAAAAGCCAAACCACATTCTTCACATTTGTAGGGTTTCTCTCCAGTATGAATTCTTTGATGTTGGGTAAGGCTTGAAGACCAGTTAAAAGCTTTGCCACATTCTGTGCATTTATAGGGTTTCTCTCCAGTGTGTATTCTCTGATGCTTATACAGGTGTGAATAACAGTTAAAAGCCTGACCACATTGTTCACATTTGTAGGGTTTCTCTCCAGTATGAATTCTTTGATGGGGGGTAAGGCTTGAAGAACAGCTAAAAGCTTTGCCACACTGTTCACATTTGTAGGGTTTCTCTCCAGTATGACTTCTCTGGTGTTGAATAAGGAGTGAGTTCCGAACAAAGGCCTTGTCACATTCTTTACATTTATAGGGTTTTGTTCCTGTTGAATAAATGATGTGGTATCAATAAAAATGATAATATTTTTATTTATAATGCTTATCGTTAACATAGGCATTTTTATATTTGTATATAAAATTTACCCTCACATCAACCAGAAAATATAGACATATTTCTATACTCCAAATTATTGCAGCATTACTCAGAAGAAACACCGCAGGCAGAAATAACCTAAACATTACACTGAAATGATGGCAATATGGAATATACAAATAATGGACTACTATTCAATCTTTAAAAGGTAATCATATTATTATCTACCACAAGGACAACTCTTAAAAGTTGCTACGATAACTGGAATAAAACACAAGGATATGTTATATGTCCTGAATTACATGAAGATTCTATTTTAATAAAACTAAAACTTACAGTAGAATGTTGAATAAAATAGATTGCATGAAGACAAAAGTACATGATTTCATAAGTATAAAGTTAGTTTCAAAAACAAAAACATTTTCTAAAAATATATTGCATAACAATTTGAATACTTAACTCTATTGAAGAGCATATTCAAAGTATTTAAGATACTTATTTTATACAATTGAAAATAAAATTTATAAATTTAAAATTATCTGTGAATCAAATCTATTCATAAATAGATGATAAAATCAGCACAATTTCTACAAATATTCATTTGGCATACTAACTACTGACTATAGTATGAAAACCTGGCTCAAATGACAACACATGCTGGAGAGGTTGTGGAGAAAGAAGAACCCTCCTCCATATCTGGTGGGAATGTAAACTGGTACAACCACTTTGGAAATCAATCTGGTGCTTTCTCAGACAATTAGGAATAGTTCTTCCTTAAGACTCAGCTATACCAATCCTAGGCATATATCCAAAAGTTGCTCAAGTACACAAAAGGACATTTGCTCAACCATGTTTGTAGCAGCTTTATTTGTAATAGCCAGAACCTGGAAACAACCCAGATGTCCATCAATGAAGGAATGGATACAGAAATTGTTATATTTTTACACAATGGAATACTACTCAGCAATCAAAAAGGAGGAAATCATGAAATTTGCAGGCAAATGGTGGGATCTAGAAAAGATCATTCTGAGTGAGGAATCCTAGAAGGAGAAAGACACACATGGTATATACTCACTTATATAGACCTATAAGATATGATAAACATAATGAAATCTATACACCTAAAGAAGATAAACAAGAAAGAAGACCCGGGGTAAGATGATCAATCCTCACTTAGAAAGACAAATGGGGTGGGCATTGGACGTAGGAGAAAACAAGTAACAGGACAGGAGCCTACCACAGAGGGCCTCTGAAAGACTTTACCTAGCAGTGTATCAAAGCAGATACTAAGACTCATAACCAAACCTTCGGCAGAGTGTAGGGAATCATGAAAGAAGGGGGAGTTAGTATGACATGGAGAGGATAGGAGTTCCACAAGAACCAAATATATCTGGGCACAGGGGTCTTTTCTGAGACTGATACTCCAACCAAGGACCATGTATGGATATAACCTAGAACCTCTGCTTGGATGTAGCCCATGGTAGCTCAGTAACCTAGTAAGGGGAACAGGGACTATTTCTGACAGGAACTCAATGGCAGGCTCTTTGACCTCCCCCCCCCCCCCGAGGGGAGAAGCAGTCCTGTTAGGCCACAGAGGAAGACTTTGCAGCCAGTCCTGAAGATACCTGATAAAACAGGGTCAGATGAAAGGGGAGGAGGTCCTCCCCTATCAGTGGACTTGGAAAGGGGCAGGGAGGAGATGAGGTAGGGAGGGTAGGATTGGAGGGAATAAGGGAGTGAGACACAGCTGGGATGCAGAGTTAATAAAATGTAACTAATAATAAAAATAAAAAATTAAATTAAAAATGGAAACCTGAAAACAGGTAAATAAAAACTAAATTAAAATATAGATGTAGTTAATAGATATTTTATTGTCTTACATTGTCTTAACTACCATCTAAGCACTATATATTGAAACACATTATCAACTTATTTGTGAGAAACTAGACTAGAAAAACAAATCCACAGAAAATGGAATTCCAAATAGGACAAGGAGAATCTTGAACCCAGAAAATCCTCAAAGAATGAATAATGAATTACCAAAATCAGGACTAAAAAACAAATACATTTTTAAATCATTGACATTCAGAGTTTTAAAAATCATTAAAAATACACTCACAGAGAGCTCTGAGCTGACAATTTTAATCAGTGGGCATATAGATAAAACTAGAGACTCTCACTTGTGGCTACTGTATTATAATGGTTTGACACAAGAGGTCTTTAGACACAAGTATAAATTGTCTGAGGTTTACACAGCAATGAAACATCTATCATGATAGGCAAAAGGAATTACTTTGATAGTATGGATATGTGCACAGATTACTGGAGAGGAAGAACAAGACTCAGCGGACTTAAAAGTATGATACAGGGCTGGAGAGATGGTTCAGAAGATAAAAACACTGTCTGTTCTTGCAAAAGTCCCGAGTTCAATTCCTAGCAACCACATGGTGGCTCACAAGCATCTGTAACGAGATCTGGTGCCCTCTTCTGGTGCATACGCATACATGCAGGCAGAATGCTGTATAAATAATAAATCATAAAAAACAAACTAAAAAGTCAGTGGTGGAGTTGTTACCTAACATTTATGAGGCTGCAGGTTCAATCCTTGGCACCACACACACACAAAAATCCAATACTCATTTAAAAAAAAAAATACGATAGCCATCCTCATGAGATGTCTTGTTTGATAGTAAGAGAAACAAATGGAGACTCCTACAAATTATTTCCATGAAATAGCTTATCAATACCCATTTTAAAAGTCTGGCACTCTGTTGGATTTTGGTCCTCCCCTCTATCTCCTCTTGTTCCGACATTCCCACACACCTGGGTAGACGGCCACTGTTGCTTGTTGTTTCACATTCCAGGGTTGTTTTCTTTGCTCCAGAAATGTGATCAGACATGGCTTAGAGAAGGCAAGACCTGTTGGTATAAAAAGGGAACATGATGCTTTATTTTGGTGTCTGGAAAACCAGTATTTCTATCCTAGTATGAAGCCTATAAGGAAAAGAGGGCATAATGAAAGCTTGCAGGAAGAAAAAAAACAAAAACCAAACACTTCTCTAAATGTCTCCTGATAAACAGACTATGTAAGAAAAGTTAAAGGGTATACCATTTTACTTACAGATGTGTGTGGTATGTCTCATTCAACTGAGTCTGTACAATTACCACTAGAGAAAAGAATTCATAATTCAAAACAAAAGAGGTTAAAAATAAAATAAATGTAATAAAACTTATCTAAACTATTATCACCACCCTTCTATTTTTTCCTTAAAAGCAGAAGTATAAAATTCTTTGATATAAAGCATAAGCTCCCATGAGATTGCTGTGGCATAATCTGGTGCTTTGTATTCTAAAGTTAATTATTTTGCTCCCCGAAGTCTGCTTGCTGTCTTTTACGAGCAGTCACTCATGTATGCCCAAATATTGCTGTGTAACACTTCCTTCAAATAGTCCCTGCTTGACCAATAAAGTACCTACACCTGGGCAGGGCAAAGGAGAGGTGGAGCTAAGGTTTGTGGGCTTGAAGGACAGAAGGATCATGGGAGAGACGGAGAAACAGAGAGATGAAACAGGTAGGAGAGATGAATCATGGAAAGGGAGACAGGTACTAGAGAGAGGAAGGAAGGGGGACTGCCATGAGTTAGCATGGAGAGATTCAAACGGCTAGAGGAGCCTGTTCTGAGGACCGGTATGGCTGGCCAGAAGTAGCCCAGATTGAAAGCATGTGCAAGTGTTTATATTATTTTGGATGGGAAGTAGCCCAGATAGGAAAGATTAAAGCAAATGGCATGGGATGTAGGACTGAGGTCTGTCCAGCTCCAGGTGAAATAAGGCTTATTAAAATCTATCAAGTGTCTGTGTCATTTATTGATTTGGAATCAGGTTAGAAAATAACCATCATAATAATTATATAGTTGACTAGTTAAACCTTAATAATCATTTTATTTTCTATAACATGAGATATTCTACAAATGTTGACAGTGAATTAAGAATTCAGTAGAGTAGCGATCCTCACCCAGAGAAACAAGGTTGCTGTAATTCTCTAACATCACATCACTATACAAATCCCACTGAGCAGGGTCCAGGCATTCACACTCCTCTGGTGAGAAATCAATGGCCACATCTTTGAATGACAACTGCCTCTGAATATAAATAAATTACATAAAGTAAATAATTACCAATCAATAAAGTTATATATTTGCTGTCAGTTCCTAATTTTACCAAAGATGAAAGAACTACAAGTGGTTCTGGTTTAAGAAATATTAATCAACATACTTGATATGCAGTAACATTATCTTATATATTATCTATCTTTAATGACAAATTAGATGAGAGCCACCAAAGCCACGTGAGTATTTTTGTGACATATGTAATTATAAACTGAAGGAATCCACACTATACAGAGTGTGTGCTAAATCTGTATTATACTATATAAATTGCATATCTTTCTCACAGAAAAATATGGTGAATTAGGACACTACACATTTTAAATATATGTATGCAGTTATGAACAGGAAATTAAAATGCATATGCTGAAGCAACAGCTCTGGGGTAAGGTCTGGGTGTCTGAATATGTACAGATCTCAGCAGTGATGTCAATGACTGGTTTGAATAGTCATAAGGTAGAACAATAAAGGAAGAATTCACAGATAAAACTGAATTTCTAGAACTTATATAAGTTACACATTAAAAACAGAACGTACAGCAATAATACTGACACAGCCATATCTAATGGGAACAGTGAACGTTATAAAGCCAGCACAGCTGCTTGACAAAGATCCAGCACAGCTGGGCCAAGTGATGCAATCGCTGTGGTGCAGTCTCCCACTTTTTGGCCTTGCTCTCTACTTGTCACATGCATGGAGGTCTTTTATTATTTGTTCAAGTTGGGGATATTGAATTGATGGAAATTTTCTTATGAATCATTTATGTCTTCTCTCAGGAGTACTGCTTTCTAGGCTTCCCTAGGAATGACCTGACTATGCTACCCCTCCTGCTTTTTAGGGACATATCCTTACCTGGCCCTACTTGAAAGTCTTCCTTACGCCCTAGAGGTTATAACTCAAGTAAATATGGCAGAGACTTCTTTATGAGGCTCGGACTCAAAGATACTCTTGGCACATCTGCTCCTGCACTTACTCAGGAACAGGATAATCAGAACAAAGTAAACTTGAAAACATAAATAATATTTGAGCCACTAGAGAAGTTGGTAGCAGATTAATTTAAGAGCCTCTTTCTACTACTGATGGACTAAGAATGATGTGGATAAATGATAAAAGAATAAAGTATTAAGACCTCCTTTCTTAGAAAAAGTGAACTCATTCAGGGCCACTATGTTGTTGCATGACCAAGGAAGAAAAATACCAAGATTAGATATATAAATAAATTCTACAAATATATAAAATATAAATGCTGTATTATGGCAGAAATTAAATAACTGCAGCAGCTTTGGGCTGACTTTTCCTGGTCCTAATGACAATTAGGACTCTGACTATTAAAAGTTGTTAATACACTGTTTGGGACATGACAATCTGCCCTGGCTAGCTTGAAGATTTTCTTTCTGTCTAGTGCCCTTGAAACTGCAAGAGCTACCAGCCTGAAAACAGGCTGTCATGCTTCGGCAAAATAAGCCCTTGAAACTACAAGATTATTAAAAGTTGGGTTGTGGGGTTGATGAGGGAAGATGACTGTAACAAATAATTCTGTCCTGTCATGGTTTATCAATGATGACTAAACTTCTGACCAAGTGAAAGTTAAAACACCTGTCCAGGAACAAAATGATATGATCTACGTT